TCAGCAGTGTACTTCGTCGATCTGCCTGTTCTGCTCCCCCCTCTGTCTCTGGTGAAGCCTCTAACCACCCCACACCTCTGGCCTGTACCGCAGTTCTGTATGAATACATAAATCTTTAAAAAAAGTTGTTTTCTTCCCTCACCCCCACCCCAAAATATAAGTCTAGCAAATTTTGAGACATGGTTTTCTTTGTTAAAATTAATTTTCTGAGTTTAGACTAAATCGTTTAGTCTTGCTTTATAAATAAGGACTGCTAATCCTAGAGAAGTGATTAGCTTAGGCCAGTACCATGTTTAAAACCCTCTAGATTAAAACCCTATCTCTTGACTCTCAAGTTTTAGAAACCTAAAAAAAGAGGAACTCTCCACCCTTTTCTGTTTTTTAATCTCTAGGTCATCCTTTATAATGAATGTGTTAGTTCATCTGAATAATTTAAAGGCACCACCTCATTCATATACCAAAGCACATCCATTGTTTTCAACATATTTCCTTCAGTGGTACTGGTAATCACATGCACACCTTGAATCTCCAGTCACTTCCCCACTCCAACACAGAGAATAACACTACCCAAGCCCATGTTGCTGCCTGATAGAACAGATGGATCTGCATTTAACCAACAGGCTCTCCAAAGCTCCAGAAATGTCACAGAAAGAAAGAATAAGTCAAATGCCTCATCACTCAATATTAACGGGATCCTGGAAAACCACCCCGGCTCTGAGGTAAATCTAGGCACTGCCTTCAGTTTCTCCTCAATCCACCTTTGTGGGAAATAGGACAGTCCTCTACTAGGGACAAGTATTTGAGTCTTCAACTTTGAAAAATCACAGCAGTCACATCCTAGCAGTGTGCTGGCAGATGACTGCACTTTACCAGCCCAATTATGAGAAGCTTTGATCTACACTTCATCATTACTTCAAACCTGCTGATAATAAGACTCACCCAACTAAATGCCTAAAGTACCCACTTCTTTGGTGACTGCGTATTTTCAGATTAAGCAGAGAGGTTAGTAGAGGTAAGTAACCACACCTCTCTAACAACTGCTTTCCTTGATATTCATTTGGGATGATGGCATTGGTAATCCAGACTGACACTACCAAACAGCCTTAAAAAACTGGAGTGGGCCAAAATATGTTCTATTAGCTCTCCTCCACTGTGCCATTGCTGAGTGCCAGCACCAAAATGAGCTGCTTCTTTATAAGACTCACATTTAATTGTAAAGGCACTGGAGTTCCAATAGAATTTATCTCAGTTCTCAGAAAACTGGAAAGATTGTGCTGCTTCTGTCCCAGCTTAGCCAACCCATTTATTACCTCCAGCAAATGTCAATGGCATGCTTTTCATGTAATGCCCTCAACCCGAGCCTCCTGCATCCCACCTATATATATCTAAATTCAGAGTTCTTCCATTGATACTGTCTCATCGTTGTAAGCTGCCTTAAGCTTGTTTTCAAAAAAGGTAGATACCAATTCACTACAGTTCTGATCAAGCTGAGTGTTAAAAGAAAAAAAAAATCTAGACATCAAGACAACAATAATTTCACAAAATACTTGAAAGTGATATAATCTAAATGCAGAGAAAAGTTAAGTGTGCCTAAATGATACACACTTGCACAAATTATGACAAAGCCAGATTCTGTCCCACAACCTCAGGTTAAGCACCATTTTCTTCTTGCTGTCTCCATACTCAGCAGTCTTAGAAGTGCTAAATCAGCTCAGGAAGGACATGGTGTTGGGAGTCAGACCTGGGTTGGAGCTTGGGTTCATCCACTTTCAGTTCTACTACTTTGAACAAGCCACTGAAATTTTCCAAGTTCGGGCTGCTCTTTGAAAACTGGGACAAGCAGGTGGTAGTGATGATTAAATGTGAGTCTTACAAAGAAGCAGCTTATTTTGGTGCTGGCACTCAGCAATGGCACAGTGGAGGAGAGCTAATAGAACACATTTTGGCCAAGTTGCAGGCCCAACCAAAATTTACATCTATTTAACCCTCAAAACAACACTGAATTTAGAGGGGAAAAGAGGTCAAATCAGAGGTCACCTGTGCTACTCTGGTTTTTATCTAGTTGTCACATCTTTTGAGAGGCACCTAATCCACACTCACATTGATGTCCAAATAAGCTGGGAATAGATCAAGAACAGTCACGGTTTGAGGTTCAGAAATGTTCAGTAGCTTAGTGATATCTGCCACAAAGAACAGCAGGCTAAAACACTGGCATCAATTGGAATTCATTCCTTGATGATCCCCAACCTATTTTCTTTAGCTGCAAATCAGTATGTTCAAATTTCTGGTCAACGTCCCCATTTCACGTTACATATGCCCATGCTAAAACTGAACAACTGATTTCTCTAGCCTGTAGCCTCAACTGTCCTCATCCCAGGAGAAGGGCCCAGATGGCTGCCGGAGCCTGATTAACATGGCAATCACCTCCCTCACTCTCAACAACCTGCATTTTAACTGGTCACCACATCCTAGTGATTCTACCTTGAAGCTTCATGTTGACTGTCTCTTCACCTCCACCAGACACAGCCCCTGTCACACCTTAGTGATGTGACAGCCTCCTAGAATCCTTGAGTCCAGTCTTACCTTGAGTCCTCTAGACCCATCACCACATCATGGTCAGAGGAGTATTTTGAGAGGCCTACCCTTTGTTAGACCCTGCTTTCCACAGCCCTTCAATATATAAACACCTATAGTAAGTACACCAGGCATGATAGGCCAATGTTGCTTCAGTTTCAATTTCATATTATTTCACCCCCCTTGCTTTCACCACTCTCAGACATACTGGAATTGTTTACATTTCACAAGTAAGTGTGCAAACCCACCACAATGACATTCTAAATGTGAGTTAGCAGGCCCTCTCTATTTCCTGTCCTCTGGTCTCTTTGCTACCTTACCTCTGTCTTATGTCAGTTACCTAGACGAAGGGTGAAGACTATGCAGTACTCCTCCCCACCCCACACCTCTGGGGTCCCCTATCCTAGTTAATTTTTTCTTAGGGCTCTGTTCCCCTGCCTACCTTCTGCACAGTCTTGACCACATTAAGTCCATGGTTCTATGTTTTCTAGCACATTTGTGCTTCTCTTGATGAACACTTAACTCATGTGGCACTTTATTCAGTTGGCCTGTCCTACTAGGCTGGGCATTCCTGGAGGCAGGCACAGTGAGTCGCCAAACATTCCAGTTCTGACACTAATACTGCTAATTATGACCAAATGCAAAATGTATTTTAAAGAAGTGTGCTACTCCAGGGCTGCTATGGGCTTCTCTACTATGTTATTTAGTCACTGTGATAAGCCTATAGGCAGGGGGACAACTACAGTCCATGGGCCAACCCTGACCCTGTTTCTATAGACAGGTTTTAATTAGAACCCACCAATTGTTCTCGTATTGACTATGGTTGCTTCTATTCCAGCAGTGGAGCTGATCAGATGAGTAAGCTGTATGGCTGGCAAACACTAAACTCCTTACTTGCTGACCCCACACATTTGTATGCTGCCCCGAAAGGACACGGGCATGAACAGAATTACCAAGTATCACAGACATAGAAAGGAGTTGCTGCAGACCGCTGCTTGGGAATGAAGGTGATACACTACCTCTGACTACTCTGGCCCATTTCAGATCCCTCCATGTATGTGAGAACAAAAAAGACAATGGTCCAAATTTAGATATATGGAAAATCAGGACACAATTTGTACACAGCATATAAAATAATAAAAATTATCATCTCAATCGGGGAAAAGCTTCAATTTCCTAAAGGCCATGAACAGAAAGAGGATAATCAAAAAATGCAGATGGCAGGAAAGGAAAGAATAAAAACACTTCATAGAGCATAATTAGCAGGACTTAGTGCTATAATGCAAATCAGGAGTAACAAATCTAGTAACTAGATGTTAGCTGCATGCTGTACAGTCAATGGGATTGCCAAGGTGCTATGGGGCAAAGAAGAAAGCCTGCCACTAGGAGTAGTGGTATTGTGATTGTTAGCAAAACACTGACTCAAAAACCAACAAAAAAGGTTTCTTTAATGAAGTTTGAGTCTTCTCAACTTCTCCCAACCCTGCCCCTACTTCCCAGCATCCCCCACATTTCTGCATTCTACATCCCCAAGGTCCCATTCTCCGAGGTTCAAAAAACTCAGTCCTCACAGCAACCGAAGTATTCTTTTTTCCCCATAATTATTTACTAGTTTTCTTCAATCACTCCCATACTCATTGTTCCACATTACTTCTTGCCAAGGCAGCTGCGGCTTCTAACTGGCTTACGGCTTTCATTACCTCCTCACTGTGTCTGTGTCTACTACCAGAGAAACAGCAGCTGTCAGTACGGCTTCCACTCCAGACACCCCATGCTTGCTAAATGGTACAGTGTACTGTTTCTCTGATGTGCTCTGATTATCTGGCCGGTCTGCTGTTTCCACCAACCTGATTCAACTTGTTGCTTAGATACTCCTATCCTTCAAACACTTACACACTGCTTACGTCAGGAGGCCTGTGCTTTCCCCCACTGGCAAGCCCCGCACAGCAGTCTTTCCACACCTCTCTGATGGTACACCCTCCTTTTTCGCTTGGTTATAATTACAGATAATTCCAACTGACTGTGGTTCAACTCAGGATTACTTAGCTTTATAATAGCACTAGAGAAATATGCATTCAGTAGAAATTGTACTTCAAATTGTAAATCAGAGCATTTTGTTTTTCACTTTCAGTATAGTTTTCAATAAATTATTAGTAAAAGTTTTATAAAATTAAGTTTTGTTAGTCGACTTTGCCAAGTATAGGACGACAGCAGTGTCTGAGCCTGTTTGTGGTAGGTGGGGCTAAGTTATGGAAACTCGTAAGTTCAAGGATTTTCAACTTATGATGGATTTATTCACATTTAAAAAAATTTATTGTTAAAGACTTTTTATGCATACAAGAACCGGGGTTCAGGCCAGAGGTGTAGGAGGTTAGAGGATCTACCAGAGACAGAATGGGAAACAGAACAGACAGACTGACTGAAATACACTGCTGAGGGGAGCAGTGGGCAAGACAGGAGAGGTCTGCTGGGCCATGTGGATCAGGTTGCTGGCCAGGGATCGAACTTGTGCTACAGTGAATGCATATAGCTTCATATTGCTGAGACTTAACCCCACATCAACAGGGAGGCCCCTACTCCATCTTTCTAATTAGCTGATATAAAATGTAATTCATGCCTTCAAAAATAGTTTTTAGAATATATGCTTATTACTAATAAATGCTTATTACTGATATAAAGAAGTTCAAAATAACTCATTTAACTTCTAAAATAAAAACAGGGCAAAATAGTAAGGAAATATTTAAAGAGAAGTAAGTCCTTCAAAAATCAGTATTACAAGTGCTAACAAAGGTGTGGGGAAAAAAGGAACCCTATTACAATGCTGATTTAGCCCCTATGGAAGAAGTGTGGAGATTCCTCGAAAGACTAAAAATGGATCTACCAGCTAATTCAGCAATTCCACTCCTACATACCTACTTGAAGAACATAAAAATGTTAATTTGCAAGGAACCCTGCACTCCTATGCTTTACTGCAGCACTATTTATAGTAGCTGAGATATAAATAACCTGAATGCCCTAGAACAGAAGAGCAGATCAATTAGATGTGGTGTATAAACAATGAATACTACTCAATGACCATAAATGATAAAACTCATGCACTTTGCAGCAACATGGATGTAGCTAGAATGGATTTTTCTAAGTGAATGAGTCAGAAAGAAAATGATAAATACCAGATGGCTTCACTTAAAAAAAGTAGATCAGTTCTCCTTTCTATTAATTACTAATCTGAATTACACATATCTTCAGCAACAACTGTATTTAATTCAGACTCTCAGAGGAAAAAAACAAAATCATGCAACAACATGGGCTACTAGCGATACATACTAATAACTTACCTACTTCAGTGAGTCGATGCCTTTCTAACGTTAAATTCTTTGGATCCTTAATAAAATGAAAGGGTTGTATTTTTATTCCTTCAATTTGAGGGAATAATAGAGCAAAGCCCGATTCTCCAATTTCTATTTCCTGAGGTCGATTGCTACCTGAGCCCATTGGAGTCACTAGGAAAAAAGTTAAAACAGTTTTGTGAACAGATACAATAAAAACTTAAGTTTCATTTGGTAACAGTGTAAATTAACCAATGATATGCAGATAACTGTTATTTAGGCAACTAAGGCCAATCAACAAGCTAAGTGGCACCATCTGATAAAATTAGCTTTGACATTTTAAAGAATATAGTGTCATGTGTCCGCATTTATTTTCAAATCGTTCAGAAAGGTATGTTTTCAATTAAATTAAGACAGAAAAGCAAATGCTGCAAAATGTTTTAAACTACCAAAATTAGATGAAGGTTATATGGGCATTTACTGTACAAGTCCATTATTTGCTCACCTTTTCTGTAAGTTTGAGGTTTCTCTAATAAAAAATTAAGGTGTAGTAAATGAAACTTCACACCAATTTTACTTTATTAACAGTTACCCTAACAATTACATACATTTTTAAACAAGAAATTTGTAAGTAAAAAATGCCCTATACTTGTATTTCAATTAAAAGCAACAAATATGCAAACATAACCATTAAGAATGACTGACACATATTAATGTCATAGAAATATGTTTGTAATATGCTGTGTAAATTTCAAAGGTAGGTGTTAGGAACAGAGCTCTGTACCTCCACCCCTACCTTACCTCCCAAATTTTATGTTGAACCCTAAACTTTCAACATGACTGGTTTATGGCTAAAGGATGTCTTAAGAGTGACCTACCTAACAGAACTGGTGCCCTTATATTGAGGAAGAGATATTAGGAAAGTGTACACAGGAAGAGAAAAACAGTCAACAAAGACAAAACTAATAGTTATCAGAACCAGGATTTCCCATGACAGGCAGAGATCTACAGGGAAAAGGCATGAGCAAACTTTCTGGGGAGACAGAAATATTTGGTATTTTGATTGGTGTGTTGGTTATACACAGGTATAAATGTCAAAATTCACTAAATTGTACATGAGTATGCTTTTTATTTAATTAACATCAATTAAGAATTATCAGCTCTGCACATGCAAGAATGAACAAATTTTCTCAAAATTGATACTATTCCAATCTACAAAAGGACAGTAGCCTATAGCTGTTTTAGAAATGTCCCTGCACTGTGGTCCAAGAAAAAGGAACCAATGTCTTGTGAGTTTTGTTGGGACACAAGTGGAAATGGCTCATAGAAAGCACCCAGCTTCACGGGAGACCAGAATCAATTAAGGGGGGGGGAAGAGTAGTCCTAGGACATAGAGGAGGACAATCCTGACTAAGTGTGCCCAATGGTGTTTATGCTTCATGTCAAGCAGTCATCTACTCTTTCACAATGGGTCAGGAAGGCAAACAAGTGAAACCAGGTCCATTTGCCATCCCTCTACAGCCCCCAGATCATGAATGAAATTTCACAAAGGAGAAACTTATCAGGGTTTGGAGAAGCTGCAGTGGGTAGGGTATGATTATATGCCATGATCTTCAAAAGTTTATAGCAGAACAGAAGTTTCCAACGAGATTTACTGTAGCTTACACCCTAGCCCTGCTACTGTAACAACCAGAAGCCAAACTAGTTAAATAGGGAGTGAGCTCACTACTGCTTTCTAGTTTTGGAGGCAGAATGTGACCTTCCTCCTCTTGTGAATGGCTCATGAAAAATGCACTGCATTTTGGATGACCAAAATATAAATGTGCTTTTAGTTACAAAAAACTACCTGTCTATAACACCCCAACTAATCTAAGGCTGGAAATCAAGTTGGTATTTTTCTCTTACCTACAATTCCTGGGGTCACGATCCCAAGGACCTGACATTGTTTTGGGAATAGTTTCTCAAGGGCAAATGCTGTTTCCATAGTAGTTCTTTTCCTTGCTGTAATAATACAGTATCAAAATTATTAACTGTCATTCATCCCTACCCACTATTAAGTATCACCCATATTTCAAATCTTATGATGTGAAAATACCAACAAATACTGAATGATGCTTAAGCTATTTTAAACCAAAACACTTTACAAAAAAAGTCTAAAAATTGATGAAAAGAAGCATTTTTCCAGTTTGGCCTGTTTTATATTTTAAATTTGATATTTAGTACCAACACTCCTTTACTTTGTTCAAATAACGTTTTTGCCCCAATGGTAACAAATTTAGCAGAAAAATTAAATTGAGACCTACTAGACTGTATCTTTCTATTCAGTTTACAGTACTAGAACTTTTTCATTACCTAAATTGTCATCTGGCTTTAAATCAGACTATTATTATCCAATACCCAAGTCTAACTCTGGGTGCCATGGCTTCCTCTTAGAAGGTTAAAATTACAAAGTATCTTCAGATAACTCCTGTAAATGGATCCTTGCCCCAACAGCCAACCCAATAAAAGGCTTCTGATTGACAAAGTTATACATCCTGTTTCCATAATAAAAAGTGCTTGGAAGCGCAAAGTATTTCAAAAAAAGAAAAACATCTTTCTAAACAATTTGTTTAGACTCAATCTTTGGAACAAAAATGGCTCTTCAAAGTTAAAAGACAACATTTCTCCACAGAGCAGGCCCAGTGTCTCAGAAGGTCAGTAATTTTCAGGAATAGTCAATATTTTAACTTTCTAGGCAAAAGGCACAGAGAAGGAAAACAAAACACAACCCAAAAAAAAAAATTCCCCAATTTCTTTTAATATTTACCTCTCTTGTGGCCACGACACTCTTCCAGACTAATGAATGTTTCTGAATCAGCCATATAAAGAACCGTCTGTGGTAAGATGTGAACATTCTGCAAAGAAAAATATTGGAATTGGCTAATATGAATTTGAGTGCCTTTGTGATACCTTTGAGTTTGGTACTCTGTACCAACTGCTGCTGCTCACACCCTGCTTCAGGTCAATGTTTCACTGCATCCTCCCATTTCTGTTTCATTCATCCTCTTTCTTTTTCAGCTCATTTATCTGTTGAGCACTATTATTTTTTAAAGGCAAACTCATTTCATCCTGATTCAAGTTCATTTCAAAGTAAAAATTTTAACTGTTAAGCAAAAACATTAAGTACCAGAGCAAAGCATGCACTAGCTTTATCTACAGACATCAATAGTAACAGAAACAGCTCATCAACAAAGGGAATGTCTTTCATCGAGATCCAATTAAATACTAAGGACTTAACCAACTCATCTCTTATTGAGACCGACATGTGCTGCCATTTCCTGCTGCCTTCCACAATTTGGTATGTGTTCTCCTGCCACTAAGCTCTCTTCCTCACACCTGAATAATGTTTCCTTCAAGTGATGCCAAACTTTCTCCTAGACTACCTCAGCACTTTCATCTCAGATGTAACATCCCTCATATTCCTGTCATTCGCATCTTACCATTTATAAGTGTAACTGATTCAGAACTGTTTTCCACCACACTTCTCATTACACAAGTTGCAAAGCAGTTGAATGAGGATAAACACTTTTCTTCTAAACTATTTTCAAAGATGAACAGAATGAAGTACTAACATATAGCAAAGCCTCAATTCTGATTTTAAAAAGTGATGATACACTGTAATTTGGGAGAATGTTAACATGTTTCAGAGTAAATTCCACTTAAATAATCTCATAAAAGATACTGAGACACAATGATCCTGTGGCAGCCTCCTGGCTGGATAAAACATACAGATACATCAATACATTCTTCCTAGGTCCACAGAACAATGAATCAGCCATGTAAAGAACTGTCCATGGCAAGATGCAAACATTCTGCAAAAAAAAAAAAAAAAAAGATTCGAATTGGCTAACATGAATTTGAGTGCTGATCCAGTGTCATTTGGTTGCCAACATTTAGAATTTCACAAAGTATTCACATAATATAGATTTCCATATTCTTTTTCAAAGCTAGACATCTGCATTCCCCGTGACTACAACTACAGAGGCCAACGTTCTGGTTTGCCAGGACCCTATGTCCTATGACTTTACACTGAGCAGTTTGATCCCCTTAAGGTACAACCTGACCTTGGAGTCATTTGAGTTTGGATGTCTGATGTCCAGAATACAACAAAGAGAATTTGAGATTTATATACTATAACACTGACTCTTCGATTAACCAGCACAATAACCCTTAGAAGTTGGCTTTCCTAAAGATTAAAGTCTAGTTCTGACGGCTTATTTTTCTTTCTGTTACTCAGTGGAAAGCAACTGCTGAATTCTCATTCCTAATTCTTATTAGAGGCAGTGACAATCCTCAACATTAAACATTCTCAAAGCAAATTGTAAAACAACTAGAATTTTGTTCTATTGTTTCAAGAAGCGCCAAACAGCAAGACCTTTTATAAAATGTTTAGCAGACTTTAAGATATTTCTAATAAAGTTAAAACCATTTTTTATGCTATAAAAGTATCATGTCCATCTGATAATTTGTTAAATACAAAACAAAAACACCAGTATGTATGATTTGGACAGTATTACCATGTTTTTATCTCATCACAATAGAGCTTATTCATAAACTTTTTAAGGGTATCATTATGTGAATTTTGATAGACAATAATAATAGAACATTTAATAAGTCACTGAAAACAGTATTGTAGACGTGTCATATACATTATCTTATTCCTTCAAACAATATATAAGAATGTAATAGAATTTTTCATTTAAAAATAGATACACTAAAAACATAATTTCACACTGTTTTAATTAACTCATAAATCAACATTTTCTCTATTGTTAATGCGCCTTGCAGTTTATTATTTACTGACTTCATGTATTCCGTAAACATCAGGTCATTTTAAATTTTCCTTATTACCAATGATACTCCAAAGAACACTTTTATGGAAGTCTTTGCTTGTATTTTGAATTTTCCGACAAAAAACTTTTGGAAAAAGACCATGCAGGATTTGGGCCAATGTGCCAAGAAAGGTTTTCTGCAAGCCTGCCTTTGGAAACTAGTCACTTTGGCTCCAAGTCCCAGAACCCAGAAAGGGTAAGGAAATAAGCAAAGCCATACAAAGAAGAGAGGAACAATCACTTATTGGGGCAATCTTCTGAAAGGATACCTACATATATTAAGGATGACAAAAGCCAGGGTACTCATTGTCTAAAAAAGGAGGTATAGATATGAAGTGAGTCCTATATGGTTTGGAATTGATGTATCTGCATTAATTCATAATACAGACATGTCATATTAATATAAGTCTATAGATGGGCCTTCCCTGGTGGCGCAGCAGTTAAAGCACTGCACTAAGAAGCTAAAGCCACTTTCGCTTGAGTTCGATTCCTGTCTGCCCATGAGGTGACCACATGGCGTGGCACACCTCTCCTGACCCGCCCGCTGCTGAGGGGAGCAGCGTACTTCCTCAGTCTGCCTGTTCTGCCCCCCACTCTGTCTCTGGTGAAGCCTCTCCCCACCCCTGAGCCTCTGGCCTGTACCCCAGTTCTGTATGCACAAATAAATAAATCTTAAAAAATATATATGTATGTCTATAGATATAATAAATGATAAATTGAAACAAGACATTTACCCAGCTTCAAAGTACTTCCTCACAAAATGCAGTGGAAATTTCATAACTACAGTAGGAAATAAGAGGTCATCTAGACCACAGGTCATCTAGACCACATCACTTTTATCGTGTAATCAAAGGTAACATTACCAATAGTGGGCCAAATGGAAATCATGTGCCACCGGAGGGATGCCAGGAAAAGAGCGTGGCATTTTTTTCTGATAGTTTTGCCAACTACATATAAACCGTCAGTCACAGCCAGTGATGGATGTTTACATAACTGACATTCTTGTCAAAATTGTGAAAATCTAAGTTTGAGAAACTATTCCTGATCAAACATTAAAGAAATGTGACAAAATCAAAACACGAAGCTATACTGAATCTCATGGCTATTAAGGTATTACTGAGACAACTGGCAAAACCTAAACAAATAATTTCCTGACTTTACTGGTCCTATGATGGCCGTTATAGATTGTAGGTAACCTCATCAAATAATAAAGAGCAATAAAACATCAGGTTGACCATTCTCAAATGGCTTCGTGCCACTACCCAGAGAGCCCAATGTCAGCTGTGTTCAAGAGATGGGACTCCACATGTCAAGACTATCTCCCAAAGTACTGCCCACTTTTTGCCCAGAAATGCAACACACAAAGAGTTCAGGGCTGAGGGTTGAAATATTTGTTTTCAAGTACTGATTCTTGACTCTGATTATGTAAAGCAGAGCAACAAACAGCCACCTTTTTTGAAGAGTGACACCACGTCATTTACGGGAACGTTAGCACGACTGTAATAGTGAACATCTGATTACTTAAAAGAACGACGGCACTGAAGCTGATGTTCAATGCCCGTTCAAATGTTCCCTAAATCATAAAAAAAAGAAACCTATGTACTTATTTAGGATTCGCAAAAACTGATCTGCCTTTCAAAGCTGACGCGCCCGCCCCGCCGTTTCCGGGCGCTGCCGACTTGCCTCCAGCTCCGCCGCCAACGCGCGGAGCAGTCCGTGCTCCTCCCGGCGGCCCGCGTCGGCCGCGCCCGCGGAGATCCAGGCCACGCCGCGCTGGGTGCGCAGCGCTCGGCGCGCACATTCCCTCCACAGGCGGCACACGCTGCGGACGCAAACGCACAAAGGGTTGCGATCGGACACTCCACGCGGTCTCCCTTGGCTCGGACCCCGCCCGTCGGCGCGCACTCCAGCGGGGCCCTGGAGAGCTGGGGCGGGGCTCCGGCGCGAGGAGGCCGAGTCGGGCGGCGCGGCAGCCCGCGAAAGGCATGTCCGCGGCGCGCCCCGGGGCCTGCACCACCCCGAGCCCCGGCGAGCCCGCCGCGGGCCGAGCTTCGCTCCCGCCGCCTTTCTCCTCACCCGGCCACCCGCAGCAACGCCTTGGCGGGTAGGAACGCCAGGATGCGCTCCACCACCTCCGCGAGGTTACTCAACACGAAGGTGCCCCGTGGGTCCGCGAGGGACCCGCAGTGGCCGCCGCCGCCCGCCGGATCCATCCTTCAGTCCCAGCTGGCCAGCGGCGCGGCAGCTCGGAAATGCCGGGAGACCGGACTGGAAACGCCGCCAGCCCACAGGAACCGAGTCGGCACCGGCCCTTCCGGCCACGGGGGGCGGGGCGAGCACGCACGCGCACGCACGCCCACGTAACCCAGCCAGCTCTTCCGGAAACGCTCTGCGGAGCACGTCTGCGTTGCCAGTCCTTTTCCAAGGAACTTCAAGTCAAAATGTTGTTTTGCTGCGTCTCTCACCAAAGTTTCGGTCCAGAATTTTCTTTCATCTCTGAAATTCAAAATTCTAGATTGGGAAATAAGGTCGTTGGGCTTAGAGATTGTTCTTTACAGTCCCAGGAGCTCGTAAATAGCTGTTTTTGAGTGGACAGTATGTGCTTTTAAAATACTTAGTATGTGTAATGGACGGTGGTGGTGGACTAAGGGTTATTTGGTGGTGAGTCACTACATGGTAATATTTGGCTACCCAAATATTACCGCAATTTAAATTAGAAAAAAATATCAAAGTGGCGAAATCACCGTTTTTGAAATAGTGCTGTAGCAGTGCTTTAGTCTCAAAGGACAGCGTCAAGGTAGAGGACAGATCACTATGGCGTTGTATCTGCCTGCACAATTGCAAAGATCATTTATGCTCAGGGAGTAACAACAATGAGGTTTATTTTACAGTGTGTCAGTCCTGGCATACACCACCACTAAAAAGGGCCACTGATGCTCTTTTCAGGAAATGTCAGAGGCAGGGCCCCTCAGGCAGGTACAATTGACAAATCTCTTTGTAGCTCTGCAGCATCTCTTTTTTTCTTTGTGGAGTCTGGCTGCTGGATGCTCCTTGAGCATCTTTGGAGGTTGGAAAAGGATCCTGCTGCTTTCTTCAGAGCACAAGCACAGGCTGATTTAAGCTGGCTCCTGGCCTGTCTTACATCCCTTTTCAGGGTCTCCCACCTGATGGCACCATTTTTCAACCCTAAGTATAACTGACTGGGACATTTAGGACCGATTAGTCCACTCTTGGTTTTTGACCCAATAATCGATAGCTTGTTTAAATGTAATTGATTAATTTAGCTCACACCTGATTAGTCCATTCTATGATCCAGGTGCCAATTATAAAAAGGAAATTTTGGTGCCTCACAGACCTGACCTGTTCTGTATGGACTGTCCAACCTCCCACAATGGACAGAAAACCACTGCTTCTAATTAGCCTCCAGATGATGCTGTCCTGGCCACAGGATATGCCAAAGCTCCAGTTTCACTTTCATTATGAATGTTAATTCATATTGCAAACTTTAGTTCCCTGAACATGTAAGAACAGCTTATATAGCACCTGATGATGCTCTTACAGTGCACCTCAAAGTGCACTAGTTACCTGTCAGAAGTATCAGGCAGTTTTGGCATGTTCTGGGTCTTCACCTCAGGCCTACTGAATCTAACATGGGGTTGGTGGCTTCCCAAGTTCTGACATTTCTGTGATTTAAGCTTTCCTATGATTCTAATGCAAGTTTACAGCTGAGCTGCGATATCACCACCTAACTTTTTTCCTGTGGCTTCCTGGCTAAAACCCTGATTTGATTCCACTCTGGAAGTGTCAACTTGATTAGTTTTAAACTAGTGGGCTGCAAACCTTTTAGCCTCAGGACTCTTTTGCACTCAAATATTGATAACCCCAAACAAATTGTTTCTATAGATTATGTATGTGAATATTTACCATGTAAAAAGTTAAAATATTTAATAGTAATTCACTTCAAGCCATTAACAAAGTAATTTTTATGAAAAAGGTAACTTTTGTATAACTTCCCCCTCTCCACCAGTGAATAGTGTGGTATGCTTTCTATTTTGAAAATATAATTTTTGGATTAATGGAAGATGGCCTGATATGCTTTTGAATGCATTCTGTTGTAACATCAAATGATGTAGCCTCTGAAAAACTATAATGTACATTTTTAAGCAGGAGAGGAGATCAAAAATGGCTATTTATTGTATTATAGAAACAGCTTTTCTCAGGGTTCCAGGGCACCTTGAACATCATACACTGGCTGCACATCTAGACAAAAAAGTCAATCAAAAGATGAAACGAACACAGAAAAATCTTAAAGCAGAGCAGAGCCCAGTTGTACTGTACTGGAATTATCCTATCCCTGGACTTCTTGTATGTGAGATAAATGACAAGTGAGCATAAGACTATGGGCATTAGAGAAAAATCACTGTAATTGCAGGACCTAGGGGACAGCCTTGAAGTATAAAGCTCTTGGATTTATAGTAAAGAATGTGTGTAGGAGAGGGTAAAGGTTGAGGAAACCTGAGTATACACACCATTTATGGGTTCTCTGGCTTTCTCATGTTCAATCAGAATGGATTTTCCTCTCAAGCCTCTCTTCACCATGTACATCATCACAATGAACAATTCTATTCCGGAAACTCAACAGAGCCTCCAGATACCTGGAGCAGAATTATCTTTTATGAGGGAAATGCAACAAGGTTATTTTTAAAATGGTTCTTTATTCATAAACTTGATGCAAGTTTACAAAATCTACTGTACATTGCCAAATAAATCTGCAATGAAATATATATATATATATATATATAAAAACCCCACAAAGCGTGCCAAACTTGTAGCTGTCTATCTGTTACCCACCAGGATACTAAAGAATTCAGTAATGTGTTCAAGATTTAGCCTTAGGGTTAAGGAACTTTTTAACACTTTAAAGATTTTGGCAATCAGAACTTTACACAAATGAAACCAAAATAGAATAAAATTAAACACACAATGCAGAGACAAGTCTCTCAGATGTGCATATGAAACACTCTGAACTTTGTAATTGGTTTGTGCAGAAAAATGTGCTTCTTGATTTCTTTTTAAAAGTGCTTAATAACCAGAATGTACTTCTAAACTTGGTATAGTAAAAAAAATCTATTACCAACCAAACAGGACTGATTCAGGTAAGGCAATAAAGTGGAAAACACAATGATTTGAGTCAGATTTTATAAAATAATTATTATATGTGGAGTTCCTATTAGTATCTTGATGTAAAACCCACTGTTAAAGGCTATCCAAAATAGATTTTTTTGTACTCAACGGTGCAGATTTTTGCTCAATGAGTCCATCTTTGTGCCGATTATTATATGAGTTTTATTAGTTTATAAATGATTCCAACAGCCCGTTAATCAATTGGGTATATAAAATGACTTAGTTTTTAAAATAACTTCAAGCTCTATGCTGAGCTCTTCTTCATAAGAAATAATGAACCAACAAGAAGCAGACTCAGCCCAGGAAGAATCTGATACCCCAGTGGAAATGACTACTTACGAGCTTTAATTGGCATAGCCTTGCTTCATTTTTGCCAAAAATGTATTCAACTCAGTGAAGAGCATATGTTCAGGACAACAGTCCATATTTTCATAGTCATAAAAAAAGGCTTAATGCTTTAATGAGTAGGTTTCCTGTCATCATTTTGGCAGTATCATAAAAGGGTTTTAACCTGAAAAAGTTACTGTGATTTAGAAGACCTTAAATTTTCTAAACCAATATTAAATATTGAGTAAACTTTTATTGGCTCTAAATGGAACAATATATTGTAAGTCCTTGGAATGCAAAAGCCCAATACAGAAGAGTTACCCTAAAGCTGCAACCTCAGTAACTTGATGTTGACTGGCCTGCTTCACAGGTCTCACAAAGGGATGATAAGGAGTAACCAGCATGTGTCTTTGTCAGGGAGAATACAGTAAAGGCCCCACTGCTCATTCTAAGATATACCTAACAAAGAGCAAAATGAAAGGGCTGCAACTTACATTGGATGTCAGTGGACAATTATCCACTAAAATTTCTATTAGCTAACATCTTCAGTACTGCTAATGTAGGGGCACTCAAAGTTCATGTCTGCATGTTGGAAAATTTTTCCTTAAAGCAACTTTAGTCCAAACATACACAAATCAACACATTTAGCCATCTTCTTTTGGAGGGGTGTACCAGCCTGAAATAGAATGGGGGGAAAAACATTAAAAATACTTATTCTTTCTCTACTTAATTTTTTCTCTTTTTATTTTTTTTAAGATTTATTTACTTATGTATACAGAAGTGGGGTACAGGCCAGAGGTGCAGGGTTGGTGAGAGGATTCTCCAGAGACAGAGTGGCTGAGGGGAGCAGGGTGAGACATAGCTGAGGTGAGACAGGTGAGGTCTGCTGTGCCATGTGGATCACCTCCGGTCCGGGGATTGAACTTGCACTAATGTGGCTAGCTTGCAGTGCTGTGTGTCCTAACCCGTTCCACCACCAAGGAAGTGCTCAACTTACATTTTTGAATCTACTGTGAAAAACTTAACACTTGGTAAGTTACACTGGTAACCAGCATTTTGATAAGTTCATGACATTTTCTATGAATTATACTTGAGTTTTCAAGAAATATTTCTATATTAAATAGCACTTCTCAATGAAGATTAATGTGTGGAACATAGACTGTATTTGAAAACAGATCTCACTGAAAATAACTATCCTACAAGTGAATTCCTGGCATTTTTAGAATAAGATGACAAATTTGGATTGTTATTATGTAATGATGTCATTTCACCAGTGAGAAGGCATTTCAGCTGTTATAGTGACAAGTAGTGATAATGCCTCTGATCAGTTAGTAATACCAGCCAAACTATAATCTATCTCCCCATTCCTAATTTATTACTCTTGTACCATAGCTAATCTTACACACAACCACACTTTCACAAAGAAAGCACTTTCCACCAAGGCTTTGGAATGCTACCCGCAATGTTTGCTTTACTAAAAAATAAGAAAAAAAAAAGCTCTTTATGGAAAACAAAATGAGAATAAACCACTGTTCAGTATGAAAGTGCCATATATCAAGATTTATGGTCCATCCATTGGATTATGAACTAGAAGAAAAGTTATCTTTGTATCTACTAATTTAGAGTGCTAGAATTGATTATTTTAACAACCTGGCTTTCCTCAAGTTTTATCATTTCCCTTTTCTGAAACTTGAAAATTGTTTGGAATATTTTCTTTCAGCAGCAGTCACTGAAAAAGTGATGTTTGCTTTGTCATTAGAGGAGAATATCACAAGCTTAAGTTTAAGTCACAAGGTACATTTCTAATAAAGAAGACAACTGTAAATAGTGCCCTTAAAGAAAACTATTTCCTATACATCTGTTTATTCTTCCTGATACATCAGTTTCACTATGATGGTTTACTACATAATCAGCATTTCTTTATAAAATGCTATGCATACACACTATTTTTTTTTCCCTGCAAGTTTAGCAACACAGACATCATGCCAACTTTAGAGATGAGTACTCTTTTAAGTACTTTCTCAGGGCCACAAAGCTAGGAAGTGACACAAAGGTCACTTGACAATAGTCTTCTAATTCCAAGTCAACTTGACAATAGTCTTCTAATTCCAAGTCAACTTGTTTATAGCCTCACTGTTCTGAGACAAAAACTCAATATATGCATTGGGAATATAAACAAAATTTAAAGAAAGTCCAATCACATTTATTAAAGATATTTTATCAACTTTCAGGTATATATTGAACTGAGAAGTATGTCTACTTGAATAGATCATTAAGTAGTCCCAACCACTGGTTCATGATCCTGATAACATTTATTCAATTATAACAATTCCACGAGTAGAGTTGCCTGTAACAATTCCTGTCCTAACATCAAGTAGGTAAATGATTCATTTTATTAATCTATTAAAAAATCTTAACTCTGACCCAGGCGTCCTCAGGCTAAGTATTTAAGATTCTGAAGGAAGCAAACATAGCATGTGTTATCCTCTAATGGTTTTCACTGTGGTAACAGTACTGTATTAAGTAGTGAAAACAAAGAAAGAAAAATGAAACAGGATGAATGTCAATAGTACATTATACAACACATAAGAAAAAACTTAAAACTGTCAAGCTCCCCTGGTGGCCTACGGGTTGAGTCTCAGCGTGATTACTGGTATGGCCTGAGTTCCACCCCTGGCCAGGCAGCTAGTCTACGTAAGTCACAGCAGACTTCTCCTGTCTCACCCACTGCTCCCCTTAAAAGTACTTTTCACGGCTCTCCCTGGTGGCGTAACAGGTTAAAGCACATTATGAAGCTCTCGCCATTGCAACACGAGTTCGATCCCCTGCCAGGGTGCTGACACACATGGCGTGACCTGCCCGCTGCTCCCCTCAGCAGTGTATATCAGTAGATATACCTGTGCTGCTCCCCAGTCTGTCTCTGGTGAATCTTCTCACCCACCACATCTTTGGCCTGTACCCCAGTTCTGTAAGCATAAATAAATCTTTATAAAAAAAAATATTTTCAGTAAATTTTGTTCCCCACTCTGATGAATTTTCTTACTCCCTCATACCTCTAGCCTACACCCCAGTTCTTCTGTGCAAAAAAGAAAAGTTTAAATGAAGGTTCAGACTTACCATTTTTTTCATGTATCTGTACAATGGAATTATAAGATTGTTGGGCTCTTGCTAGATTATACTGGTTCTGAAAGAAAATTATACACTTTAAATCAGAATTGAAGATTGATCAAAATCATTACAAACAATTTCTGGATGATTCAGCTCTGTACTTAAAATAATCCAGAAAACTGAATTACATTTCTATTTCAAAGGGAAATTTCTTAATTTGGTTATTCTCTTATCATTTAGAATAACAAGGCTAAAAAATATACTCCAGTAAAAATCTACAAGCTTCACAGCTCATTTAACAAGTCCTCCTACCAGTAAATAAGAATTAAACTTTATAGTTCTATTGGCCTTCTCCAAACTGATAAAGGATGCTATTTGGACATAAGTAGAGTTCACAATCTCTTAAGATTTTTAACTTGTATCCAAAAAACAAAATATTACCTTCAGGTAAGAAAATATGCCATTTTGAGTTAAAAGAAAAACTAAAGAATGTCCGTAAGTGGGATCAGACTTTGTTTGATAATACACAGAGCACAAGAATAAAAAATTATGCATCCTATGTAACCTCAAGCCAGTTCATCCCCTCACTCATCCTTCCTTCACCCAAGTTGGGTAGTGTAGATTCCTTGTATCTTAACAAATTCACATATAGTCTATTGACATTAGCCAACATCCCCTTCTTTCCCCCTAACAATCAGCTAGCAGCATGCTACAGACACCATTCTCCTGTTTTTCACTGAACATTGCTTGGAACTTGTTCCTTCTCAATACAGAGAAAGCGTGGACTTTCTCTACTTTTAACAGTGAAATATTCCATTTTATGGGCAGCTGAATACTTAATCCCCAAGTGGACATTTAGATTGTTTGCAGTATTTTGTGTTACAATGTGATGTGAACAACAATGTGCATATGTTTCTCAATAGCATTAGTGAATACATTGTGTGTCAGTCATGATTGTGCCTCTACAGTCAAAGCAGGAGAATACTTTTTGAAAACCTTATTAATTTTGACAATAACAGGTAAAAGAAGGACACTTGTTGTTTTAAAAAATTATTTACTTTATATATTATTACATCATTGTTCATTTTTATATATTTGTTTTTTCCCTCAGGTGTAGTCCCCACAGAACTTCTACCAACAATTCACACGCGTACCATCACCATGGTCCCTGGCACTCTTCTTGCCCTTGCTTTGATCCCTCTCCTTACCCATATACTGCAGAGTGCCTGATTTCTAGCTGCCTTTTTATTTTTATTTTGTTTTGTTGTTTATGTTGTTATTCTCCCCCTCACACACACACCTTATTTGGTTCCCGTATATTTCTCCTGTAAGTGAAACCATTCATACCATTCTGGACCACTTGTACTGGCGGGCATTTCTTTGGGCTGCTTGTTCTGGGATGTTGGGAACTGGTGGCTAGACCAAATCCAGCCCTGTTACACCAAAACTCCACAAGGGTAGTGATGCTATGGATATGTTGATAGGCACTGTCCCTGAAGATCTCCTCCCTGAAAAAGTTTGAGGATTGCAGCAGCCAGCCTTGCTGTTTGTATTAGTTTGAAAGGCCCTCCCTCTCTCATCTCTGTTCCAGAAGGGGACTGTGAGAGCTCTGGCCTACAACAATGGTGCACAGGCTGCACTTTCATGGTGCCTATAGTTCACCTTGAAGGTGGAACCCAACCTGACTCTACACTCAGTTCCAAAACAGGAGTGTGGCGGCTGCATAGTGTGCACTTTCCTGTTCATCATTATTTGTGGGGCCCTCCCTCTCTCTTCTTAGTTCTAGAAGGAGAGCATTGGTTCCATAATTTGCAACAATGGCACAAGGGCTGTACTTTCCTGGTGCCCACAGGTGGATGGTGGAGCCCTCCCTGTCTCTGCTCAGTTCCAAATCGGGGGCACGGGAACTGCAGCAGCCTTCCTGGCGGTACATGCCCTCATCATAGTTTTGATTTGTATTTCTGTTATTAAGTTAAGCCGAATATAATCCATTTCTAGTTAAACAAAGTCTTTTTTAACCTTTTCCCTATTTCTAGAGTTGTGATTTTAAATTTCTAACTGATGTTTAAAAACAGCAAAACCCTTCCATGATGCATCAAAACCCTAAAACTTAAAAATGTGCCTAGCATTATCTCCAAGTTAATAAAAAATATTTTAAGTCATTCTATATTTTCACAAAAATGAGACTTAGTATATGACAAAATACAATACACTGAAATTCTCACATGATCGTGAAGAGACACTTCTGAAGCCTACTGCCACCTAGATATGAGGAGTAAGCACAGTTATCCCATACTCAGCTGCCAACAGAGTCATAGCACACTTTAGGGGAACTGGTCCCCTAACAAGGAGTAGGCGTTTTCTGTTGTCACACTTACTGGTTTTGCTTACATCTTTATTAATTCTTCCTTCTACTTTCCTCTATTCAACTGTCTTTTCTAACACTGTGAAGTCTGATTTATTTTTGTCCTTCAAATATTTTAAAGAATTTTTTTTTACCTCAATTAACTTAAAGGAATGGTCCAATAAACCTATAAAAGATGCTTTCTTTAAAAAAAAAAAGTATTCCCCTGGGTTCTCCTTTTGTGTGTGATATGTAGGGACTTCATTATTGCTATTCCCCAGATATAATGCAGGTTTAATTTCAAAGCTCTGTTAAGGGCTTCTAGAGGTTTTAAATTCTACAAAGGAACATTTGTTTTCTACTTAATTGATATCTGATTAGAATAAGGGAATGCCACCTGTCCTTTTACTCTTTAAACATTTGAAGTTTTAGCAAGCTGACCATAGAACTGAGGTATAAAGTGAAGGAGGGGACAGAAAGGGAATATGATGATGGCTCATGGGTGATATGGTGGCAGGGGAGCTATGAGGACTACAACAAAAGGAAAAAAATTACTAAAAAAATTTTTTTTTACGTTTTCTTTATTGAAGAATATTAGTTTTCTGAATGTTCCAGATAGGATCAGATGGAAGTGGAGAAAGGAGGAGAAACAGAATTTTAGTATTTTCATCATGGTTCAAATTATTTAAAAAATGTTCATGATTTATTAACCATGATTTAGTAGTGTTTAATTTCCAAATTTACATTGATTTTATAAGTCTTCTCATTATTGTCTTGTAGCCTTCATTGCATTATATCTAAATTACATGGTTTAAAAAAATATGCTGGTTTGTTTTATAGGCTAATTGATGATAAATTTTTGATGAATAAGATGAATATGTGCCTGGGAAGGATATGTAGTATTTAATTACTGGGAACAAATATCTATGTCTTGATCAAGACTGTTAATTGATTATCAAATCTTTTAACATTCTTGATAATCTGTTTAACTTACTATGAGACCAAGGTATATTAACATCTCCCACTCTGATGGTGAACTATGGTTTTCTCAGGTTTCTAATGTGCACTTTGAGGCTATTTTAATAGGCAAAAGTACAACATAGGGTAAAGTAAAAAAAATATTATAACCTACTGGTTAAGGAAGATTTTTTTAATCATTAACTAATTATTTGGGGCTTCCTTGGTGGCACAGGGATTAAAGAGCACTATCAAGCTATCACCAGCCAGTACAGCATGAATTTGATCGCCAGTCAAGGAGGTGACCACATAGAGCAGCAGACCTCTCCTGTCTCATCTGCTACTCCCCTCAGCAGTGTATTTCAGTCAATCTACCTATTCTGCTCCCCACTATCTGGTATATCTTCTCACCCTCCCCCCAAACTTCTGGCCTACACCCTAGTTCTTATATGCATAAATAAATCTTTTTAAAAAAAGTAATCATTGATATTTTTTGTTCAAATCCTACTGTACAACATCATTTTTTGTTAGTGTATACATATATTTATCACCCTCCCTCAATAAAATGAAACAAAACATTGCAGTTTTTTTGTATTCTCACATTTTATATATATTTCATAAAAATCAATGGATTGGCTTTTCTTAAATTCAATCTGACAACCAGTTCACTTTAGTCTAACCAGTTCACTTTAGTCTACTTGTTGTGACTGATTTAACTGGACTTGTTTCTAATGCTTTGCTTTCTGATTTCTATTTTTTTTACTTTTTAATATAATTTATAGTCTCCTGAGATTTCAACAGGACTCATTTTGATCTCTGACTCTCATAATTTCTGCCATATTGTCTACCACATGTCTCTGTGCAACATTTTGAGTTACTTCTAATTAACACTCCTCTGATGTTTAATCCTTCTACTGAGTTTCTCAACAATCATATTTTTCATTTCTATAAGATTATTTTCATTCTTTTTTAGATCTACCTCACCATTCCTGAAGGTTTATTCAATATTGTGATTCCTTTTTATTTACACTAGATTTTACATGTAACTACTCATTTTCTCACATTTTTGCTATCTGTATTTGATGATTTCAAAATCTGAAGTCTCGGAACCTAATACCTCTTATTCATTATTTCTGCCAAATCTTAAGTATGCTGGTTGCTTTCCTATGTGCACTTGGGATCTTTCACTATGAATTCATATTTGTTTGATCTTAATGATTGGGAATACTGAAAACTTAAGTCAGAAATCCTTTTTTTTTTTTTTGGCTAAAGGGTGTCTGAAGAGAACTGTGGATTCAACTAACATGAAACCTGAGAATCCTGTGAAAATCTCAGGGTATGTTGGCTAGTTTCTCAAATTTGGCTCTCCAAATTTGTTCTTTCAGAAAGAGAAGACTGAATTGCTTATCATAAAACTCTCTTTTCACTGGAAGAAAAAAAAAATAACACACCACACATTTGAATGTGACCACTAATTAGAGAATTCTATAGATTAATAACCAGAGGTCTGTGGGCAGCCAGGAAAGTGCAGAGTGTTTCCTGATTGTAGAAAGAGATTAAGAGTCACACTAACAAGGGTTGTGTGTGCAAGGATTGCACAATCAAAAAAAAGAGCTAAAAGTGAAAATGAGTACGGTATATTATTATCCCCAAGTAAGTAATTTTAAAAATAGTCTTTTTAGTTGTTTGCGTCCTCTGAGTTAAGATTACTGTGATTTCATGATCTAACATACAATACAGCTGTAAATACATATTTAGATTTATTTCAGTTTGTATAGACATCACACAGAACTTTAGAATATATACATTTTTTAATATTAGCATAGGATGAAAGCCATTACACAAATATTTCCAAATATTTTCTTTCATTTAAGTATTTATAAATAACTACCACTAGATACGGAAAGCTGTTTCTGATGTAGTTTGTGAATAAAGAACAGCACTCAGGGGCTAAAAACAGAAGACTACTGCCCAAATAAGTCATATTCTCCTCTGATACATGTGATGTCTGACCAATTACCTAACCTCTGTGTTCTTCTGTTTCCTCATCTACAAAATGAGAACAGTAGAAAGTACTACTTTTAAGTTACTGAAAGAAAAAACAGTTAACACAAGTACAAAGTATAAGGCATACATGCAATGCTCACTGGAAATTAATTAATATGCAATGAACTCACAATTTGGGGAAACTTCAAAATACATACAACTTTTTACTTAGGAGTATATGTACACATAAATAATTTTAAATTAGACATGTTTATCTATAGTAAATATAAAAAGATTTAAAGAACAGGAAGAAAACAACAAGAAATACATCTTGCGGTTTTTGTGACATTCTTAGCTAAAATACCTTATTTGCGCCAAACTGCACTCTGGCTTTGCCTTTGACTAATGTGGCATTGATCTGCATGATGACTGATTCTATCGAGTAAGCACTGCTCCAGCCCTATAAAAGAAGAAAACACTTTTCTAAAACATAATGGTACTCCTGAATCCCACTTAACAAAGTGTCTTGTAACAACTCAGTAAGTGCAAATCAACTTTAAGCAGTTCATACTCAAGAAGAGAAACTAAATTAGAACAGTGCCAAAATTTTGCAAAAACAAATTTACATTTTCTATGTCAAACATGAGTAAAATATAAGCTTACACAAAAATGACACTAATGCCTATCTCTGCATAAATTAAGCACAAAATAGTGTCATTTTACTGTACAACGTTAAATAGCTTTTCATTATTAAAAGTACTGTTAAAATTAATTTTTCAGCAGGTTATATAGTATCACAGCAATTCTGTTCAGAATCTAATTTATAGGATCAAAACACTACATTGAGGCTGAAAATATAAGTTATAATAGTCACCTGTTTTGTGAGGAGTTCCATACATAATGCGCCACCACCCAACACGTACCTTAAAAAGAGAAAACACAGAAAATTCTCTAGACCTCAGTATTCCTTAAGCAACTTTTAAAGTACTATTACTAAAAAAAAAAAGTGTGTATAGAAGTAAAGATTAAAAGATTACATGTAAAAATGTAAAAGGTGGAGCACTAAGTAATATAAAATTCTTTTTTTTACAATAGAGCCTGTAATGGCTTTTAGAAACAGAATACTTTAAGACTTTAAAGAAAGCAGAAATTAAGAACTTTGGTTCTTAGATAAAGAATTGGAACATTTATTTATTTGAAAAATTCCTTTTTTGTCATACAACCACGGGTTTTTCTTCTGACAATGGCACCAACTTTACCTATAACAATGAACATTTATATGGCATCCTCTGGCCTAACTTGTTTTTATCCATTCACTTCTGAGGACATCAAATGGTTCTGGCCATAGAATTGCTCCTTAATTTCTCTTCCCAGCCCTGAGGACATCACTCTGGAACAAATTCAACTAACTGTGGGTCTTCCAGAGCCTCCTCAGGAAACCATAATTTAGATTAAGATTTTTTTCAACCTCCTAACACTTCCTCAAAGTAACTTCAGCTGTTTCTTGAATGTCATTTTAAACTTCAAATACATTAAATATCATGCCTAAAAGTAAAATAAGGGAAATGATAATTCTAGAAGAGAAACTGTATATATAATACCACTAATTTGATGAAAATTAAATCCACTACAAAATGCTTTTTTTCCCCCACACTCTTTGTAGTGCCTTATTTTTTTCCCTAATAAAATTTGCCTACAGCATTCTAACTTGTAAAATTGGTACTCCAGCTAACCAAATGTATCCTCATGTTGTTAAATCAATTACAGAGAAGGAACCAAACAACTTCTACTGTTGTAGACCAGTTTTAACAGTAATAGCTATAATGAAATTTTTCACCAATAAAAATTGTTCACTAACTCCACCATTTTGGAGAATTCAAGTAAATACCTCTCTTACTTGCCTGGGACAAGTTTGGGGGATTTTCAAAGTTAAGATTTAAAGCAAAGAAAAAAAAAAACACTCCAAAAATTAAATATGGGTGGAGAATTGCGGGATTTTAAACTTCTTTACGGTTTCTTCTATGCTACTGAAGCAAAGAAATCTATGTCCAATTCTTTAAGTTTTCCGAGTTCAAAAAATTTCTCTATAGTGCACTTTGAGTAAGCACTTCTTTATTTAACACAATTACAAAATTTACATTTTCTTCTGCATTTTGGTTTCTCAGTAAGCTGTTACTGTATAACCTGTTTTGCTATTGTTTTTTTTTGTTTTGATGTATAACAATACATTGCATTTCAATATTATGTAAGTTTCAGTTCTTGATCATTATGCTTCAGAAATGCCAAAGGCAAAGTGGGGTTTATTTTAGGACAAAGAAAGTATGTAAACAAGACCGAATTACTGGATTATCCCATCACAACCTTCCTTTTAGCACCTACTCTTCATGTTGAGGGTAAAGTCTTGTCAGGTGAAGAGAAGAAAATGCATTTCCTACAAGCACATAGAGCTAAATGTGTTTGTAAACTAATAACAAATGTTTGTTGGATGTCTAAAGAGAAATCAGAACAAATTCTAGTAGCTACATAAAAGTGGGATATACACTATCATCAGCATTTACACCTGTAAAAGAAATAGCTCTGTACTGAACTAATATGTTCTATACTCTTATGGCTCATTGTCTGCAGAGTTCAAGGACACTAGAAAAGAAGAACAATCAAAAACACAGGAAGAGTGTGTTATTTTAAAATTAAAAACATTCCCATTACCAAAGTTGTATGGCAAACACTATCCTAAGTGCAGCTTCTTTATGTATTCAATTTATAATTTTTTATTAGGAAGTTCTTGCAAGAATGCTTGCTACCCATGCACTCAAAAATGTTTCCTCCCCACTCACAAGATCTGATGATGACTTAATGAAACAGATGAGAGGACAAGTAATTATTACTTATACTAGAGTGTTACAACATAATTTTTATACATGTCTTTTAAATGATCAAAAGAGAGGTGAAATATAAATTTTTGACAGTATATAAATTTCTGACAATAAACACATTAAAAAAAAAAA